TGCTCCTTGTAAGATTGAATGCGCTAGTTGGGCGCATCCAGAATGAACGCAAATTGGTGACCAAAATATCTTTAGAGAGGTTATTACGCAAGAGGTAGTGATCTTGAATCACTTCATGTGAGGCGCACATGGTGGATTCCGTTGTGTATACTTATCGCAAAAGGTGCTGATAAGGCTTATGTTTGGAATCTACGCAAGCTGTGGTCTTTTTTTTAAAAAAAAAAAAAATTCGATCACTTATTTGTTATTACATGATGGGATGTTGACACTATTATGGTTTGTGTCATAATGATTAGCAGATGATGATATCAGCAGGCAAGATTGGCTCACCCACACGAGCAATTGCTCTTGGCGCTAGGGAGCGAGCAAGGATGAGACTAGTGGTTTATTTTTTAGAGCCAAGAAAGGCCTAAATTATCTACTATGTATGTCGCCTTGGTTACAACCAAGATGAGGTCGTGTTAAGTACCAAACATGGATGTTAGTACCCACTTTCCAGGTTGTGCCTGTTATGATTAGCCAAATGTGAGATCTCATTTGGTGCCTAGAAGGCGAGCAAATAGAGAATTCGGGTTAGGTGTTAGAAAGCGACTAGACTAATATCTGTACGGTGTATTGAGTATGATGTCACTCTTTTGGAAGAGTTACTCCACTGTAGCATGTATTCATACTACATGTGCTTGGCGACCGAGTAATGAGGTGAGAGAATGGATCCTTGTTTCCTCACCGTGTGAGTCTTACGTGTCATTATTGATATGAATTTCATTTATGTACCCTTTTGTGACTTTTGACTATGTCATAAGGTAAGGGGTTAATGTTCTGCTACTTTGGTATATTGCCTGCGGTCATGTATAATTCGGCCTTAAGGGACATCACTGGGAAAGCAGTCAATCCTAAACTAAATGGCATGAGGGCAAAGGGAAGATCATCTAGTATTATACCAATGTTGTATATTCACTGCCGGCAACTCACATCGCTCGTATGAGAGGCGGATTGAGTGTGAATATATTGCAAGAATTGAGAGGGTCAAACATGCTCTTTTTGAGGGATTAAAGTTTTTTTTTTTTTTTGGACCGGTGTAATTAGATGGGTCTGGGGTATATGAGACACTATTTCTGTTCTTTTTGGGTTGATGTCTCTATGCTGGCTCATTTTGAGTTTCTAGTATAGAGCTCCCACATGCAGGTGTTCTCAGCAATCGCACAATGCATTTGCTAGTATGATATTGTTCATTTTTGAGGAGATTGAGATAGAGATATGGTAGTGTCATGCCAACTCATGTGCGAGTGGGAGATGTTAGAAATTGGGTGCCCATGTGGCATGACCCTTTGAACCTTTTAACCTGAATCTTTTGAACCTTACACTGCTGGAAAATCCATTTTTAGCAACGTTTGAAAAACGTCGCTAAAAGTACTAAAAATGTCGCTAATTCTTTTTGTGACGTTTAGTACCAAACGCCGATGACGCGGCCGTTGCTATAACTTTATGACGTTTGGAAAACGTCGTTATATTAGTATAACGCCGCCAAATGTCCTACTAACTGTACTATGACGTCACTATGACATTTAGCGACGTTTTTGAAAACGCCGTCATAGACATTTATACATTTTAAAAATTTAGCCGTTGGGGTGGGATATAGTGACGTTTTTTAAACGCCGCCATAGCCTTTTTTTTTTAATTTTAAATTTTTTTAATTTTATATGGTTGAACAAAAACAATACCTGTCAAACAATTATTAAGAACTAATAATTGATGTATATTAAAATAATTAAACTAAGCTTGAAAACAAAATTAAAAATAAGAAACAATGCATTGCATACCTAAGAATAGCAACAATTCAGACTTTGAAAACATCAATTAAAATCAAAATGGTCAAGAAGTGTAATTTGCCCAAAAAAATTAAAAAGGAATAGAAAGCACACTAATATGGATTGATCTAATACCCAGTACAGAATTTTAGGGTTTTTATTTTTATTTTTTATACCTAACATTGCTCAATCTAAAATGAAGATAGATCTCACATAAAACAATGGTGGGTTGTCTGCGATTGACAAGTCAATTGGCCATTGGTGGTGTGGTTCAGTTGCTATTTTCCTGCTAACCCACCAACTCCATGCCGAAAAAGAGCACAAACACATTGCTCAGTTGGAAAATGTAATGACCTAATTTTTCTCAAATTATCACAACAAAGAAAGCAACGTAATAATATGAACACAAGCAAAATTAAAAGAAAATCTATTATATGTCGAGGCATAATACAATTCAGCCAATTCAATTAAACAAAATGAAACAAGCAATTGTCAAAAACTTTGATATGGGAAATGACTATTGATTTGTCATCTTCACCTTCAAAAATTGAATCATATATCTAAAACACACTTCAGCTGCCCAATCTCCCCGGTGAGATTGATTGACCCCATCATCCATTTTAGCTGAAGTGAGAATGTGTTTCAACCAATAATAATATGAAACACAGACAGGGCAATTCACCGTCTTTTTCTTTTTTTAATGACAGTATAGTTTGATCACTGAATCAGCACCCACAGTGAATAACCATGGTTGCCTAGGGTGGAACTTGCAGTCCATTACTCCTGTAAAAGGCAAAATGAATCAGAGAAGCCACCAAAAATATTATCAACCCAAATATTAGTAAGATACACTCTGGACATTTATATTCAGAGATTTCAGTATCTATATTCACAAGGGCGCATTCTATGTTGCATGTCATATTATTATTTCCACACAAATAGTGTACCTTTTGCGAGTAAAATCAATAGTAGAAGGTGCCAAATGCAAGGACCTAGGTTATCAGTAGGGAGAGGCTAGTTCGATCCCAGCCAGCCCTACCACATCGCAATGAACTGAAAACAAAACTGGCAATACATAACTACTATTTTTGTAACTGAGAATCGCTTGGAATAATCATGCAATGAGTCAACAATAAAGCTCTGCCAGGAGCTTAACAACCTGCCTTCCACAAGGTCAACTTTTTTTGTCAAGTACAATTAGGCCAACTTAAGAGAGGAATCAGGGTTGGACAAGGAGCAAGCCAGCCCACTACTCCCATCAAATCAAGATTCCACAGAGAGAACCATCTCCGGAATACATCAAAACTAGAACTAGACTTGGCAGCATGCATATAATAGAAAGCACACTAATATGGATTAGAATAACAATATCATGCGTCGAGCCTACCACATCACATTGATAAACAAATGTTACTTTGGTGGATTTTTTCATAATTCAGGCAGCAATACTTATATCACATATCAATAAAAATAGCAACGTAGGTGTCATTTCAGAATGCAACATAACATAAAAGGAAAGTATTTTCCCCTCTCTGTAGACAGTGAGGCCAAATGAAGCCCAAGCTTACTCATATAAATTCCAAGGCACAAATAGAAAAAATGCACAAAATTTAGTTATTGGGCCCTAGCAGTGTTGAATGGGATACAAAGCACAAAATCCAAAGAACACACATCACACCTTGACTGCAAGTAAAATTTATTAAGATTCCTCACTATTTTCAATTTTCAAGAGCGGGGTATGACTTCTTATTAACCAAAACTACCATCTTGCATTACATATATTAGTCTCTATATGTCCAATGTGCTCAACAGTTCTTAAACCAAGCTACAAAAATGGGAAAAGAGGTATCTGAGAAATTCCTAGTTGGGATACAGGAAAATATGAAACTTTGGAGAGGGAGAGAGAGGAAATGTTGGCCAAATTAGGTGATGCCCAATCTGTATCAAAATGAAATACAAGAATACAAGACCAACCGTATGCATTAAAACAAACTACAAAATTATCAAAAGCATTACCTTAATGAGGGAAACTGGGAAAGAGCACTGTAGCCATTTTAGGATCAAGAAAGCAAAAGGGACTCTGAAAAAAATTTCTCAAATTTTCTCTCATCAAATCCTGCAATTTCAGACACAGAAAGTTGAACAAAAGTCAGCACCTGAATTGTCAACTGCACTTCTCAAGGTTTAAAGTTGATTGAAAGAATGGATATCATTTACCAATGTGTTGCAGCAACCCTTTTCTTTTATTTTTCATAATTTTTTTTATTTGGGCCAAACCACTATTGGGCTAGAATCCTAACAAATTGATTTTTAATTTCAGGCCCAAAAAGAAAAAAAAAATCTCATTCAATGTGTTTGGTTTCAGTTTTTTGAAAATTGAGTTTCTTTTACTTTTCATATTTTTTTTTTTATTTTTAGTGAATATTTTTTAAAATTTGAGCAATTTTTCTACATTTTTAGATATACCTTATTTAGATGTATCTAAATAATAAATTATTTGTGAAAAAATATTTTCAAAAATTAATAAGTACATAAAAATATGAAAAATGTACTGAATTTTCATTTTTTTTTTTTGTATTTTTGGTATTTAGAGAATTTTTTAAAGATTTTTTTTTCACAAATATTATACTTTCTAAGTGTATTTAAGTTAGGTGTGTCTAAAAGTTAAAAAAAATTACTTAAACTGTTAATAAAATTCAATAAAAACAAAAGAATATGAAAAATAAAAAAGTAAAATTTTTTGAAAAGTAAAATTTGAAAAATGGAAACAAACAGAGTTTATGCTAAGCAAAAGGCCACCAATACAATGGGAAGCAAAGATTGCATTTGGAATAATCATACAGGAGTGACTTGTTATCACTCTGTTGAGGAGGGATAATTAGGCCTCTCCAGTTCACTGATAAAGTGATAATAAAGGCTTTAATTACTTATTTTAGAACAAATAAGAAACGTAATCAAGCATTTACTAAGAGAAAAAACCAATGGAAAAATGACTGCTTTTGCCCAGGTAAGTAGTTAGGATACATAAAGCCTAATTGATTAAAAGTGAACTGATATCTATGAACTTTTTCTTAGTATATTACAGACTCATCTATTCTGATGAAAGTGAACAGGATAAGAGGATAAAGATGGTTTATTAAACAGCATCAATAAACATTTTAAAGACATTGCACTGTAAAAGTTTACCTGGCTAGACTTTTTATCGGAATCCGAAACGGTGACAAGACTATTAAGATTGTCAATTTTCATTTGTTGTTCCCTAATGCATTGATCTCATGCTTTGTGTAATTTCCTCTATCTCTAGTTTTTGTCGCTTCAGTAAGGCAGCATCTGTCAAAATCTACAAACAAAAAGAAACAAAAACAAAAAAAAAAATCAACTCCAATTAGCCATACCATTAGATTTGAAAGGAGCAAGGAATCAACTTTAACATAATAATTATTACTTTAGATAATATGCTTAATCATTATTTGAAAACTATTTGCAAACAAAATGATGTCAAACCCAGAGGGACCGGTTAAGTTAAAACACGATAATTTACACAATCAAGGCAAGCTCTCAATGAACAAATCCAGAAATGTTTAACTTTTTGGCTTTCAAAAATCTATGTAACCAACTTGGTGATTAAACTGCAAATACACAAGGAACTGGTGCTATAATGCAATATATGATATAAGTAAGATCCTTCAATTTATAAACATTGGAAAATGTTCCATACTTAATATTTTCAAAGTCATGTTAGTTTGATGCCACCCACGCTAACATTTTTGACATTCTAGTTTAGCCCATTTGAACTAGTTCAAGTGTAAAGTTCCTAGTTTTTTTTTTTTTTTTTTTTTTTTTTTAATTTTTTTTTTTTAACAAATCATTATTTTACAATGACCAAAACCATAAATGAAGTCAATATTGAAACTGGAAACTTAAGAAAGAGGTAACCATCCAACCAACTGTAAGCTACTTTTCAATTGGATACAGCATGAATCATGTAAACCATCACATTTAGGTTTTCTCTTTGGCTCAACTCATTTAAAATTTATGAACTTCCCCATGATAAATTACAAACCATAGGGAAGAAATCAATATACAAAAAAATTTAAGAATATTCAACATGCCCTTATCTCAAAAATAAAAAATTCTAGGAACACTTCAGACACTAACTTCTATTGAATCCATATTATATATTACCTTTTACAGCTAGATTCTACTAAAAAGTATGTCAGGGACAAACAATATGGCAGCTACAGTAACAAAAGTATATGTTGAAGTAAAATGTTGTAATCTTACTAAGTTGGAAAAGAATTTAGTGTTATTAAACCAAATAACTAACAAACCTCATTCACTTGAACACAATTTGTTATTCTCTTGGCTCTGCTAGCAAACTGGAGGGTTCCTTTCGTTTCCTCTATGTGAATCTGGATGAAGTAGCCATCTTAAAACCATACTATAATGTTAAACTTGATGTAAGATATATATATACACACACATATAACTCGATAACATATTAATAACCTACCTCTTCGGGTGCTAAAGTGCAAATTATAGAAGTTTTGGCATTGCCACCAAGAGCAGGTTGAAGTATGTGAGTGAGCTTACTATCCCGATAAGGAATGTGTCCCCTGCATTTATATTTTGATTCATTTAGACAGTTGTTTTATGAGATGGATTATTAACTTAAGGAGGCAAATACCTTTGCTTTGCACCATCACTTAGTTTTGTCAATCACATTGCCAAGAATCATTAATCACATCTCTTAGTAAATGCTTGATTACTATAAGTTTGCTTCGCTTTTTCAAGCTCCACCCCTTACTAACTAATCTGACAAACTTAAACTCTCAAAACCTGACCCTCCATGCGATTAGTGGAAATTCCTAGGAAAATAATAAATTAAATTTCAACTCTTAACTCCTACAATTCATGTTCTTTTTGTTTCAACAAGCAAAAAAACTCCATGATTTAAAAAATAATAGTAAAATAATTTCAAATCAACCAAAACTTGTTGGCTGCTAGATTCTTGGCTATTTGGGAGCCAAAATCGTGAGAAACCTAGCATCATATTTTAATAAATTTCCTTTTCTATATTTCCTTCTAACAAAGCAGAGCAATAATTTAAATTCAACCCTAGTTTCTTTACATCAACATTTTCTCAGCAACCAAACAAAGACTGCATAAGTATAAATATGCTCTCAAAAGACAGGACTCTCACCATAGGATGCCCCTGTGTAGTCTTGAGAAGAGAAAGTCGAAGTTGAAATATTAAGCCATGAAACGAAATGAAATGAAATCTAGAACAAACAAATAAATTAAATCCAATGAACAGACCAAAACATGAACAGACCAAAACATGAAATGAAATGAAATCCAGACCTTGTTGAAATGTTCATATTGCCTGTTGCCAAGGCCAAACACTCTGTACGAAAAGATTAAGCCATTTCTCTCTCCTTTACCCTATAGGCAGTCATATAACACGCCATGAAACCCAAATCTCACTTGGTAAAAGAACCATAGTAACAATAAAAATTAGAAATTAATCAAAATTTACCTCTGAAAACCATTTATAGAACCTTGCAGAATTGTCAGTTGGCTCACCATCTCCATATCTATACCACAACAAACAAATAAATTAAATACAATGTTATATACCAACAATACACGACTATGTATATATGTATGTATGTGATGTGAAGTAAAAACTCACGTAGCTAAAAAGAAAAATGCCTAAATAATATAATGAACTGGAGAAAGAATCAGATTGGAAGAGTTATTGAAATCTTCCAATAACAAGATAGCTTAGCTTAAGTTCATCTTCCTAAATAATTATCCAAAAATCAGATTGGAAGAGTTATTGAAATCTTACATTTTGGGATGATGAAGCCACTAAATAATAAGACAAACAATACAAACAAACTGCCAGCTGTTGTAGAAGCAACCGCGGTGCGGAAGACAGATGCCACAAAATGAAACATGGATGTAGCTGCTAAGTGTAGAGCTAAAAATAGAATGCACTGGAGAAAGAACCTAAGATACAAGGCAATGATAGAAATTAATTCAAAATTCCTATTCAGTTTCAGAAGGGTGTGTTTGTGTATGGTGTGACTGTTTATTTGAAAGTACCAGTAAAGCTTCTGGTTACTAAATGACTAATCTGAGCAGCTAATTTAAATATTGGTAAAACAGTGACAACTTGTTCAAATCAAAGACATATTTGGAGAAAAACAAAATATATATATATATATATATATAACGAAGAATAAAATGCAAACGTTGTCAAGTGACACTAACCTTCCAGCCTCAGGACTGTATCCAACGAGATGTTCAAATTAGAGCTGAAAACAATGAAATAGGAACCTTCAGAATGGTGGCTGGGATTGCATATGCCCAAGCTGGATAGAAGTACAAATCTCTCTGTTTGTAGAAAACTGCAAGTCTTCCAACAGTTAGGGACAACTCCGGAAATCCATCAAAAAAAAAAGTTCATGTAACCAATCTCTACACTTCATCGGCACCTACAGAGAAATCAAACACCGATTAACACTTGTTAATGAAAAACAAAATAAAAACGACTTGCTTGAAACCTTGTTAATCAGCAGATTTAACAAAATGTGAGAGAGATCAGATCAAATCGAGTTCAGATTTTGATCAAATTAGATCAACTTTCTTGTTCGATTTCGGATCTACAATTTGCGAGACAGATCGAGTTCGAGTTCGATGAAGAAAAGCTAGAGCAAGAACCGATCTAACAAAATGCAAGAGAGATCAGATCAGATCGAGTTTGGATTTCGATCAGATTAGATCGACTTTCTTGTTCGATTTCGGATCTGCGATTTGTGAGAGGGAGAGAGAGAGAGAGAGAGAGATGAAGAACAGCTAGAGTGAGAAAGATCGAATTCGAGTCCGATGAAGAACATCTACAGTGAGTGAGAGATCGATATTAAGAGAGAAGAGCAGCTCATGAGAGATTTTGTTACCTATGTGTAAATCATAGTATAAAACATGCAGTGGACAAAATGTTTAGATCATACCTTTTCCAATGATAGAACCTCGTGGATAAATCACGTGCTTCTAGAGTCTGATAAACCAACCCAGCAGTGAAGTGATATCACAGATTGAATATCACCCACACAAATCACAGTGCAAATGACTTGATCGTTGTTTTTTGGGAGAGAGTCAGTATATGGATAGAAACAGATCATACGTTGTTTCTCTCTTAATCACCCATAACCCATATTCCAGATATATAATATGTTATTATTATCTATCCATATCAGTTAATGGAGATAATATCTGTATCCTGAGTGGTTATCCTAAATAGGTTTGAATTCAATTTCAAAACCTATTTAGATAAGGTTCAAATTCAAATTCAAATGGCCATGCATGCCACATGGGCGCCCATTACTAACAACTCCCACTCGCACATGAGTTGGCATGACACTGCCACATCTCTATCTCAATCTCCCCAAAACTGAACAATCTCATACTAGCCAATGCACCATGCGACCGCTGAGAACACCTGCATGTGGGAGCTCTATACTAGAAACTCAATATGAGTCAGCATAGAGACATCAACCCAAAAAGAACAGAAATAGTGTCTCATGTACCCAGACCCATCTAGCTACATCAGTCCAAAAACATCTCTAATCCCTCAAAGAGCATGTTTGACTCTCCTAGGTCCCGCATTATATTCACACCCAATCAGCATCCTATAAAGAGCGATGTGAGTTGTCGACAGTGAATATAGAGCAGAGATGTAGAACTAGATGATCTTCCCTTCACCCTCATATCATTCAATTTAAAATTGACTGCTTTCCCAGTAATGTCCCTTAAAGCCGAATCATACATGACCACAGGCAACATACCAAAGTAGGTGAACATCAACTTCTCATCTTATGACATAGTCAAAGGTCACAAAAGGCACAAAGTAAAGTCATTTAGAGAAAAATGACTTTTAGGACTCACACGGTGAAGAAGCAGGGATCCATTCTTTCACCTCGCTAATGGGTCGATAAGCACATGCAGTACGAATGCATGCTATAGTGGAGTAACTCTTCCAAAGAGTGATGTTAAACTAACAATCTCCCACTATTTATGGCATATACAAAACTTGCGCCATCATTGATCTAACCATGTCAAGCAATGTGCGATTCCTTCTCTCCGCTACACCATTTTGTTGCGGAGTCCTAGGAATTGTCAATTGCCTGATAACTCCTTTTTCCTCACAGAGCACTTTAAATTGCTCAGATAGATACTCACGTCCTCGGTCAGTCCTTAGAGCTTTAATGCTCTTGTTTAGGATCCTTAGCGTAAGCGAGTGCAGCCATGCTGTCACAATGGATAGTCATAGGGTCTGAAGTGTGTGTGACAACATCCAAATGCTGAAGGAATCTCCTCAACCACACGGCTTCCTGAACGGCAGATGAACAAGCCACAAACTCAGCCTCCATGGTCGATAAGGCGATGCAGGATTGCTTCTTACTGCTCCAAGAAATAGCACCATCGCTAAGCATGAAAGCATATCCTGAAGTAGACTTACGCTCATCTAGGTCTCTTCCCCAGTCAGCATCACAATAGCCAACTAGATGTAGATCTGAACTCTGGTAGCAAAGTGTGTAATCTGCAGTTCCTCTAAGATATCGTAATATCCTCTTAACTGCTTTCCAATGAGCTGGTCCTGGGTTGGATTGGTAACGACTCACCAATCCGACTGCATAACAAATGTCAGGACGTGTACACATCATAGCATGCATCAAGCTTCCAACAGCATTTGCATAGGGAACACGGGCCATCTTTTCATTTTCTTCTTGAGTCTTAGGACCCATATCAAGGTTTAGGCTCTCGCCTTTTGCAACAGGAGTGTCAATGGGTTTGCAGCTCTGCATCTGGAATCACTCTAGGATAGTCTTAATGTAAGTCTCTTAAGACAAACCAAGAAGTCTCCTAGAGAGATCCCTAAGGATCTTAACGCCGAGCACATAGCTCGCCTCACCCATGTCCTTCATTTCAAATGTAGAGAACAACCACATTTTAGTGGCGACAATCATCTCCTTGTCATTTCCAGCCAATAATTTGTCATCTACATATAATGACAATATCAGAAAAATGTCCTTGGATCGCTTAACGTACACACAGTGATCTTCATCAATCATCGTAAACCCATTAGAAACAATGGCTCGATGAAATCTCAGATTCCATTGTCTGGATGATTGCTTTAAGCCATAAATAGATCGTTGAAGCTTGCAAACTTTGCGCTCCTGACCTACTGCCACAAAGCCTTCTGGTTGATCCATATAGATCTCTTCATCCAATTCTCCATTGAGAAATGCAGTTTTAACGTCCATCTGATATAGCTCTAAGTCCAGCTGAGCTACTATGGCCAAGATTAGGCGAATAGAGGCAAACCTTACAACTGGTGAAAAAGTTTCCTCATAGTCCACACCCTCTCGTTGGGTATAACCTTTCGCCACTAGGCGAGCCCTATACCTTTCTATGGAACCATCCGCCTTGCGCTTGATTTTGAGAACCCATTTGTTCCCAATAGTCCTGCGCCCTAGCGGCAAATCAACCAAGTCCCATACATGATTTTTCTTCATAGACTCTATTTCTTCATCCATTGCAGTACTCCATTCTTTACTAGCAGGGGATGAGAGAGCCTCTTTGAGATTCTTAGGCTCCATCTCATCACTCGGAGCAATCATGAATGCTTCCCCTTCAATCTCAAAACGACGACGGGGTATAGCTCCACGTTTGCTTCTACGTAGTTGAGAATCCTGAGAATCCTCATCCATTGGATCTAATCCATGGGTAGGTGGATCGCTCCCACTGTCCCTAGGAGCTTGAGGAATTATTTCCTCATTCTCTACTAAGCTAGTAGGTGCGCCTTCAAGTAGATCCTCCATCTCGTAGAATTCTACTTCTCTAGTTACCTCACCTCAGCTAGGGAAATTCTCCTCTAGGAAATCCATATCTCGCGACTCAATTTCAGTCACACTTCCATCCGGATGCTCCCCAACAAACACATAGCCCTTAGAATGCTCACTATAGCGAATGAAGATTCACTTCTTTCCTCTAGGGCCCAACTTCCCAAACTTATGAGAAGCGTTGTGTATGTAAGCTGCCGAACCCCAAGGCCGCAAATTGCCCAAATCAGGCTTTTTGCCAGTCCACATCTCATATGGGGTGAAAGGAACTGATTTGGAGGGCACACGGTTAAGGACGTAGGCAGCAGTCAACAAAGCATCTCCCCAATAAGAAATTGGAAGATTAGCTTGCGCCATCATTGATCTAACCATGTCAAACAATGTGCGATTCCTTCTCTCCACTACACCATTTTGTTGCGGAGTCCTAGGAATTGTCAATTGCCTGATAACTCCTTTTTCCTCACAGAGCACTTTAAATTGCTCAGATAGATACTCACGTCCTCGGTCAGTCCTTAGAGCCTTAATGCTCTTGTCTAATTGATTCTCAACCTCATTAATCCAATGCTTCTGACTTGTGAGAAATCAGATAGACATGACCAAAACGCGTGCAATCATCTATAATTGTGATGAAATAAGGGGCTCCATGCCTTGCCCTCACATTCATTGGTCCACATATATCAGAATGAATAAGTTGCAATGGGATAGATGCCCTTATGGCTTTCCCAAATGGTTTCCTTGTTGCCTTTCTAACAAGACAGTGCTCATAAGTAGGCAAAGTGACTCTAGTGAGTGGGCCTAAAAGACCTTCTCTAGCCAATCTAGTCATCCTGTCTTGCCCTATGTGGCCTAATCTAGCATGCCATCTCATAGAATCATTATCACAAAAAGATGCAATATTAGAAATAGAGCCATTGGCATTTTTATTAAGACTAGAATCATCCACATCCAAAACTAAAAACCATCTGAAAGATAACCAAAACCATAAAAAATTGTTCCCAAATAAATGCTAACACCATTATTCTCAAAACAAAAACTAAAACCAAGGCTCATCATGCTAATAACTGAAACTAAGTTTCGCCGAATATCCGAAGCATAAAGAACATCATGAAGATACAAGGTGCGCCCTCGTCGCATTTCCAGCTTGAATGTGCCAATGCCAAGCACCTCCACACTGGACTCGTTCCCCATGTAAACTTTTCTGCTCCCAGCAGGTACTTGGCGATACTCAACGAACCCTACTCTGTCCCTCGCGATGTGGTCCGTTGCTCCGGAGTCTACAACCCAAAAATGAGGAGAATGAGCAATTAATGCTTGACTAGACACAAAGCATTGAATGCGAGAAATTAAGTAAGGGAGTACCTTCTTCTGCTCAGGGTAATCCCGAGCAAAGTGTCCTTATTTGTTACAATTAAAGCATGTCAATCTAGCCTTTGCCTTCTTACCACCTCTCTTGCCCCTACGCTTGAAATTTCTAGCGCCATTGGGCTTAAGCGCAGCCGTTGCTTGCTTCTTAGGGGCACCTTTTGCTTTTCCACATTTGAACTGAGAAGTCCTACGTGAGCTTGATTAAAGTGTAGGAAGTGGCTAACTCTCTAGTTTTTCTCACTTTCAATCACTAAACACTCTTCCTTATGATCAAGGCAATTGATCTTTGACTATATCAAAATTTTTAGAGTGGTTTTGGTGTTTGGAAATAAGGA